CACTTTTCAGACTGGATGGAGAAATCCAGCTTTATGAATGAATGGATGAATGAATGAGGCATTTATATGGCGCTTTCATATGTCTACTAGGCCTACACTCAAAGCGCTTTACAATCATATCAGAGAATCTCTCCTCAACCACCATTTGTGGTTATTAAATCTGAGGAAATCATGGGATCCGGCCAAATGATTGGATAGAGAATGATACAGAACATATTTACAGTGAAGGAGACAGAACAGTTACTGTTGTGTTCTCGACCCTCCAGTCATTAATCCTGTGTCACTGTCTTCTGTGTCACATGATTCTTCAGATATCATTCTAATATGCTGATTTGCTGCATGTTTAAGAAACATTTCTTATTATTATCAATGTTGACAACAGTTGTGCTACCTAATCTTTTTATGAAAACCTGATACATTATTTCAGGATTCTTCGATGAGTATAAAGTTTAAAAGAACAGCATTTATATTAACAGCAAACAATTTGTTTGTTAATGTAAAGGTCTTTACTTTCACTGTTTTCATCAGTTTAAACCTAAAAAAAAAAAGTGTACATGTATGTGATTCCTTCTATCGTCTGATTATTTGTCACTCAGGACATTGTCTTGGATTTCTATCCTGGTCCGATTCAAGCTTTGGATGGTGATAAGGGTCTCAGAACGCCAGTAAAGTACTTCATCCTGTCAGGTGATTATCCTCTGCCATTGAACCTATCTAAACTAAACAAAAATATATTTTTTATTTCATATATATATATATATATATATAACATCTGTGTGTGTGTGTGTGTGCTTTAATACAGGGGCAGATAATGGCAGATTTGTCATTGACAGTAGTTCTGGAGAAGTGAAGTTAACCAGACGCGTGGAGAACAGACTGCTGATCCCGACACTGAGACTGCGTGTTATGGTGCGTCTGAGAGTAAAGAATAAAAGTTTAAAAAGTGAAATAAATTGTTTTAGTATATTTTAAAATAATATATGATTTATCTTTGAATATATATATATATATATATATATATGTATTTATTTATTTTATTTTTTTTAAGAAGTGTTGTGTTCCTTATTGCATTTTGAAAGCATTGCAATGTTTCTGCTCAGGCAGCTCAGACGGATGACCCTCTGAAGTACGCAGTAGCCACGGTTCTGGTGAGGGTTCTTGCAGGAAACAAGTTTCCACCCCAGTTCAACCGTTCAGCGTACCGTGGCTTTGTCAGTGAGAGCACAAGTCCCGCCTCGCTTGTCATGACGTACGGCAACAAATTACTTATGCTGGAGGCCACGGATCAAGACTTCTCCGATGTAAGTGACTCAACAAGATCGCAACACTTACAAGACCACATACAATCCACACAGATGTAACACCCCAAAGTCAACATCCAATTTCAACATCACAAAGGCCCTGGTTTGACATTCATTGCATGAAATATGTGTTCATGTTCCTGTTTAAGCCTAAGAAACTGAGTTTGCTTTATGTTTGTGGGTTAAAGGGCTTCAATCCCAGACTGCACTATTCTCTAATCTCTCAAAACAACAGTTCTCGGCTTTTTTACATTACACAAGAGGGACTGCTCATTGCTAAAACCAACCGACTACACCCCAGCCACAAATACTTCCTAGAGGTATGACATCTACGGTAGACTACATTCATAAGCAAAATCTGAACAGTATTCTACTACTATTGTTCTAGAAAATGACAATTGCCAACTGTGTTGCAGGTCCTAGCAACTGACCTGGAATCAGGAGACTCTGTTAAAGCTGCATTACATGTGGAAGTTCTTCAGAAAGGCCAACCAGGTACTTGAAAATCTTCTAGAAAACTCTGGATTCCCATCTTAACGGGAATATACACATATATATATGAAATAAATATCCTTAGTCATACATACATTGTGAGCAAAATAAAAGTGGGTGTGGTTTGTCTGTGCAAATATTGCAACAACATAAAATAATAAATAATAAACATTAAATGCATTATATAAGTTCCACAGGGTCCTTTGGGGGCGGGGCACGTGTATAGCAGTAAGACAGTGGGCAGGGCAGAGGGCGTGGCAGGGGTGTGTTTGATCCTGCTGGCCATCACCTTATTTACACTGGTACGCTGCATTCGGATGAGCAGAGAGAAGCGGGATGATGCCATCCGGACCAATGTGGCTGACATTAGTGACCCTAATGTGGTAAGACAAAATCTATTCTTGCAACTTGTACAACATGGACAAATGTTAAAACTTTCCATATGTGCTAAAAATGTCCATTTGTTCCAAACATATTATACCCAAAACTTAAGAAACAGCAACAGCAGTGTAACAATTTTAACTTCCAAATTCTTACATTATCATTCACAAATCTGGGGTCAGTGAACTTTTAAAAGAAAGAGAAAAACTATAGAATTATTGCAAAATATTATTAAAACATTAAATGTCTGCAAATTCAAAATTTAATTTAAACCTGAATTTTTGGCATCATTACTTCAGTGTCACATGTTCCTTCAGAAATCATTCTAATATGCTGATTTAGTGCTAAAGAAACATGTTTTTTATGCAGTTATTATGTTGAAAACAGTTGCGCTGCTTAATATTTTTGTGGAAAACATGATCTATTTTTTTCTGGATTTTATTTTTTATTTTTTTTATAAACATGTAACATTATGTCTTCACTGTTCACTGCATACTTTTGTCATTTAAAAGTATAAAAAAAAAGTTTAAGCCTTAAGATTTAAGTCTTGCTTACCCCAAACTTTTGAATGGCACACCTTAATAATAAACAAATGGAATATTTCAAGATTTTTTTTTGTACATTTTTAAACAAATCTCAAAGTGACTCTTTTTGCATTTCCTAATATTTCATGTCTAGAGACTGAGATGGTTCAAGATGGTGAGTTAATGTCACTTTATTCCCCCTTAGTGAACCTCATTGTACAGTATTTTTCATTTCATAAAGAAATGAAAGTGAAAATACAATCATTTTACAACTCCCTCAGAGTTAAACAGTTGGGTTTTACCGTTTTCAAAATCCATTCAACCGATTTTCTTACTTATATATTATTATTATAGTATAATTTTTCCTACTATGGAAGACCATGGGACCAGAAACTGTCTGGTTACTGATATTCTTCTAAATATCAGAAAATCGGCTGAATGGATTCGAAAACGGTAAAACTCAACTGTTTAACTCTGGGGGAGTTGTAAAATGAGCCTATTTCCAAAAAAAGTGGAGTATCCCTTTAAAAAGTATATTGACAAGCTGTTTTGTTACTAAACTGGTGTGATAAAGCAGTTCTATGAGTCAGAGTTATAAAATCAAAGTGTAGATTAGTGTACACTAGTGTAGTGTAGATCATTTTAAACTATTTTAATATAAATAAGGACAATATTACTCAGTGCACCTTCAAATTTCCCATAGTAACTCTAGTGCATTTGTGCTTTTAAACATTAGAAATGTGTTTTGAGAGAAGCAATTTTAAATTCAGTTTTTCTGTGACAGGTGAAACACAGCCGCCCAATGCCCTTAGTGGAGGAAACGTGCTCACATCACAACGAGGCATTCAGCGAGTACGACTACTCGTCTTCACCTTTCTACGGCAAACAGGGCATCTACACCAAAATAGAGGAACCACCACCATCATCATCATCTGTGAACTTGCCATCAATCACCTTTAACAGGGAACAAAGACGCAATTATCTGGCACTGCGGCCCAACGGAAGGCCTGTGAATAGGTTTAACAATAAAACAGTGACATTTCGCGACTACGTTGTGGTTCGGGAATGTGATGAAGTGGGTGAAGGATATATGGAGACTACGTTCAGAACAGAGGCGGAAGTCTGTACTGATTTAGAAGAAATGAACATGGATTGGGAATTAGATGACATCTATATCACAGAAGAACCAAAAGGAACCACTTCATATTGCGAAGACATAAATGAGTCAGAAATGCTCCTCAAAGAAGTCAACCGAGACTACGAAATACCTTATACTGGCCATACAGATGTAAAAACTGACTTCGAAGCAATAGTTCATGCAAATCCACTGGAATTGAGGCATGAAAAGATTTCTGGGAAGCACAGATTCAAGTCTGACCTGGACAGAATACAAACAAAATCAACTGAAAGTCAAGAAAGAGATTGTACACAAAACTCAGCACCTGAAGCAGAATTCTCCATTTATAAAGGAGAACCGTATATCACAAACCCTAAAGTCTTGGTTTTAGAGGGCAACAAACCCTCCGTCAAATATTCAGAAAAGTTTAAATCCGATGGAATCAGAAAATCTGGTGATCTTAACATAGATCCTCAGGTTTCAGTTGTTGAAAGTTCTCTACAAAAGTTTCAGGATGTAAGTAACCAGGACACTGCTACACAAAAAGTCTTAAACACTGACTTACAAACACATCTAAGCACATTAACATTCGATTTAAGTCAATACAATGGATCAGAACAATGTCTGGCAGCAGAGACGAACAGCACAGCAAGCTCAAACATGTATTATGTTAACGAGGACATTGCAACAAATTTAGATGACAGTAGCCTAGATGATCCTCATGACATGCAACTCGACACGGATGAAAGTAATGATGAGAGATGATGAAAAATGCTCTACAACACTTGTTTGAAATTACAATATTGAGCTTGAGCACCAAATAAGCCTTTGTAAAATGGGAACATCCTGTGTCCTCCCTACAGAATGTATAACATTGCAATGACATGCTTTTTTTTGTATTGAAATTGCAATGTATGAATTCAAATAAAATCTACTCATGACAAACAATAAGAAAATCTGTGGTAGATAGTTCATCAGCTAAAATTAAAATGACGTGGACCTTGTTCATTATAGTAGTATTGCATAACATCAAAGTAATGGAAAGACATGGGAATAGGCCTAAAATTATTTTTGTGCATTATGGGCTCAAAAGAAGTCAATTAAGTACAAATGACCAGGTGGATAAGATTAGTATCTCTATTAGTAAACTAGCAATTCATCAAATGGAAACAAAATTAAAAATGATTCGTTTTAGTCAATTTTATTGAGAAAACACTCTAAGCTTTAAGACAGTATTTACAATACCTGATTACAGCATATTGTTCACATTCAATTACAGACATATATATATATATATATATATATACACAAACTATATACTAACATTAAGTGAGGAGGTCATTTTCAGTCATGTATAAATTGCACGAGGGAAAAAGGTAAGAAAACAATAACGAAGCAGTTTTAAGGCTAAGGGAGACAAAAAAAGGCACTTGAGGAAAAAACAGCGTTTGTTGGTACAGTCCATTAATAAAGGTCTTACTGACAGGTCATAGAGGGTGGAATGGTGTTCAATGGTCCTTGGAGCAGGAGTTTTATTCATAAAAGAGCACCCGATTAGTTGATAGTTTCTGTCCTTGCACTCACTGTCCTTTGAGTATGAAAGAACAATAAAACTGATCATAGATCAGCACATCGAGCCACGACATCCCATGTTCCTGCATGCTCGAGAAATAAAGGAATCCTGAACTCTAGTTTAGGTCTGTTTTGATCCAAACACAACAGTCTAACTATGATCTATTACTATGCTTGATTTTTAATATTATACATTCTCTAGCTAAATGAAGATGAAGAATATGTACATGCAGTGGTTGTAAGACATTTGGTCTTATTTAGAGAAGTGGTTTACATAATGGTATTGGTTGTTTTTATTTAAAAAAAGATTCATATTATGTGCAATGTATCCACTTGAAACAAGTGCTCTATGCTGTGTTGGGTTACACAAATGCCATTAAGCTGCATTATATGGGTAATTTTAGTGCATTATAAACCATTAGGCAAACCTCAACACATCACTTTGACAAGCTTCACAAGCTGACCTGAATATTACTTCATCAGAGCATTTTAAATCGCATCAGAATCCAACGCCGATGAGTGTTAAGCTACGAAGGACATGTTCACGAAAAAAGGCAAAAAATTGGATTTGATCGAGTCGGCGTAAAAAAAGAAGAAAAGTTTTGTAAACACAGTAATGAAATCATAAAATAAATTATTGTTCTTTTTGCATTTCACAAGTGTAAATTTTTCTAAATTAAAATTCATCGTGTCGGACCAGAGCTTCTCCAAAATCTGTAACTTGGCTCCCGACAAATAGGTCATACTTATCCACAATTTCCTGCTTTGTGAGATGTCCATCCTATCATGGGAGAAAAAAAAGCTGTTATTGAAGAATAACTGAAACGATTACGATATACGTTATTACGAATTTATATATATATAAAGGCTAGACAATCGTATCATCATCATCTATTTTCAGCAGTTATCACATCTCCAAATTTATTTTTATTTGCTTTTATCCACCCTGAACAATAGAATTAGGGCTTATTAATGAAATCAAATTAATTCATATAAAAATGCATAATTTCTGGAGCTCAAACAGTAGTAGAGCATGGTGGTGCCTTAAAGGGACAGTTCACTTTGAAATTAATTTTTGATATGTTTTAGCTTATCCCAAGGGTATCCAAGATGTAGGTGTCTTTGTTTCCACAGTATTTTCAATTTTGACATTTTTAGGTCAAACTGTTCTTGTCTGTCAGTCATATAATGCAGGTATAGGGGGTCCACCTCAAAGAGCATGCACAGAGAAGTCAAAATTAAACATGATTTAATGACTCGTAAATGCAAGTACACACTGATGACACGAAACGAGCGGTTTGTGTGAGAAAACGAACAGTATTTATATGTTTTTTACCTCGTGTATCCACAGCCATGTCCAACTGATCTGAATCAGATGTCCAACTGAACCAAACTGAACCGTGTCCAACGTTACGCCGGAAGTGATCTGTCACGCATTGTTTACACAGATTACACTAAACATATTTAGATATATCAAAATTGTCGTCCATTGCGATTTCCCGTATATCTAAATATGTTTAGTGAAAGGTAAAACTTCCGAAATCTCTGTGTAAACAATGCGTGACGTAAACGCGCGAGAGATCACTTCCGGCGTAACGTCTGGAGATGTTTCAGTTCGGTTCAGTTTGACATCTGATTCAGATCAGTTCGACATAACTTTTAACAAGAGGTAAAAACGATATAAATACTGTTCGTTTTCTCACACAAACCGCTCGTTTCATGTCTTAGGCCATCAGTGTGTACTTACATTCACGAGTCATTAAATCAAGTTTAATTTTGACTTCTCTGTTCATGCTCTTCGAGGTGGACCCCTATACCTCCATTATATGACTGACAGACAACAACGGTTTGACCGAAAAATGTCAAAATTGAAAATACTGTGGAAACAAAGACACCAACATCTTGGATGCCCTTGAGGTAAGCTAAAACATATAAAAAATTAATTTCAAAGTGAACTATCCCGTTAAACGCAATGCAAGTAGCTTTGAACAAAAGCATCTGCCAAATGTTTTCCATGGATCACAAAAGGAGATGTTTAGCAGGTTGACCCAGAAACAGTTTTTTCCATCTACAGCGCATGGAAAAGAACATGTAGATGTTGTGCTAAACTTTACATTACATAGGTTTTCAATGACAAGAGGGTGATTAAATGATGCTGGAATGTTCCGTTTTGCAAAAACTATTTATGCATTTATTGGATCACTGATTCTACTGTTTCTACTGATCATGAAGACCTTGATTAGCTTGCTCAGGTGTGTTTGATCAGGGTTGAAGCTAAACTCTGCAAGGACAGTGGCCCTCCATGACCGAGTTTCGTAGAGCAAACTCTACGCCCTATATATACACTTGTATAAATTGTTTGTTATGTAGCCTGTTATGTTGATTTGTGAGAAAACTAGAATGCAGGTTTGAAATAAACATCATAATCATAACTACAACTTTCAGATAGCTAAATAAGTAATGGCTATGACTTTTTTGCAAAGGGTCCCTTCAGAGAATCGCCATGTTTTTACCTGATCTGCGTCAGCCTCATAGAGAAGGTGTTTGGCCTCAGCCTCTGCATGGTCATAATCGGAGGGTAAGATCCAGTCACGGGTCTCATCTTTATCCATACGGCCATCTTTGTTTTTATCCCTGAACTCTGTAAACTGTTGTCTTTCGGTTTTCACCCATTCTGGTTCAGCTGGGTCTCCATTCTGGCTGTACATATCACCTGAAATACACAAGGGCGACAAATCAATACATGGAACAGGAAACTTAAATACACACTTTAAAAAAAAAAAAACACTTACGACGACTTACTAATATATTCATCAAAGTCGATGAAACCATCTCCATTTTTATCAATGTCCTCCATGGTCTCCTGTAGATCAAACCATAGACAAAAAAAAAGTCAAATTACCCCCAAAACATCATTTAAAGTCATTATTGTATTAAATTGTACTAAAAGTAGTTTTATTAAAAGTAGCTTGAGAGAGCAATATTTTATCTGACTCAACATATAATTTATTACACAAACTTTTAGGCTACAACGGCCGTATTTTTTGGTTTATACAATGGAAGTCACTAGTAACCGAAACAATTTGGTTACCACCATTTTTCTAAATATCTTATTTTATGTTCCGCAAAAGAAAGAAAGTCATCTATCCCTTTAATGGGCTTATTATTATTGGGTTCCCACACTTTGGTTAGCTTCAAATTCAAAGACCTTTCAAGGACTTTCCAGGCCCAATACTCTCAAATTCAAGAACTTAATGTGGGACACATGTGTTGTGTCCAATAACAAACGTTGGGATACCATCGTAGTAGTTTTGTGCATGCGTGAACGTCATGGCAACGTACAACACAAAGTACCTCACGCAGGAAACACAACGTAACGCGTTAATGTGCGTAACTAATGTAAATGAAGAAAGCTAGTATGCATAGGCCACAAAGTGTTGGTGACATAACACATTAGCAGACCGGAGGGAATAAAATGGATTTTTTTCCTGAAAATATTTTGCACAAAATAAATTCAAGTACTTTCAAGGCCATTTATCTACATATGTTCATTTTCAAAAACTTTCTAGGGCCTTGAATTTTTTTTTTTTTTTTCAGATTCACAAACTTTTAAAGATTTCAAGGACCCGTGGGAACCTGGGCTTATTGGCCTTTAATTAATGTAGAAATATAAAAATTGTATTTTTAATGAACTGATACTCTAAATAAGAAACTTTAACTGCCATTAGGTGGCAGTAAATGTCTAAATGAGTAAATCATTGAGCCATTCAGGCTTAATGCACAGATCTGATCTTTTGGATCAAAAACGGATTTTTTGTCCCGCCTGTTTAGTAGACACGACTGGTATCCAATATCTGTGTTTACATAAATCCTCTCCCAAAATGATTCTGTTGAGGAGCGCTATACTATGTGTAACAGTAGCAAAACTGTTTTATTTTAAAAATCATGGCATAGAGGTTGAAAAACTGTTACTATGCTTCTGAATTTTTCTGTGTGTGCGCAATTTCTAGCCTATATACAAAGTTTACACCTCAATAAACAAATCTGTGAGTATTAGTTTGAGTGCATACAGGCACGTCTGCTTCAGCTGTGTAGGCAAACGTCTAGTCATCAGACAAAAACACATACGGGGGCATTTTTGCCCCAATTTATTCAATTTTAGGGGCATTCTAACTAGCTTCTAAAGGCTCCATTGAATTGTTCTCCAACCAACTGTATGAAATGATGACCTATGTAAGTCTGGGACAGGTGCGTTAAATGTGTTTATAATTTGAATGCATTATTTGACAGCCCTAAAAATAAGATAACAGCAATGGTGTGGAAGACTGTCCAGACGTACCAGCACTACAATATCCTTCATGAAGTCAAACTCCTCTGGGTGAAGGAACGCTGTAAACTCTTCTTTATTTGCCCTCATGTCACCATCATGGTCAGCCATCTTGAAACGGCGCTCATCTCTGGCCATCATTTGTCTGTAGTTAAAACCATCCTCGGGATCTGCTTCATCTAAGCACACATTGACAATCATATTAGTTGGGATTTCAAGCAATTCCTGGTTAAAACGGTAAATTTACATGGTAAACAGTATTTATTTTTTGGCCTGACTCAAATTCCTTTAGTTGTTTTGAACTCAGACTGTACAGTCACAACAAATGGATTTGATTGCATCACTTGTAAAATGAGGGTATAGCTGCTTGTTCCATAAGATCAGATTGGAAAACCAAATCAGATTCATTTGCAGCATGAGCAAAACCTTAGAAATATAATTCACCAATTAACATATTATACACACCAAGGATGTAACCATAAGTAGCGTTCTTGTATTCCTCCCAGGAGACATAGGCATCTGAGTCGAGATCATGAGCCTGCCACTGCCGGTCCACATCTTCATAGAACCATCGCTTCTGCGCATGTTTGATCCTCCGCTTCATCTCATCAACGGTCACAAAGCCGTCGTGATCCTCATCAATCTTTTCTACGATTTTACTGTAGAGAGAAAGAAAGAGAGAGAGAATGATTAGGAGGACTTTCTCAGAAGAGCTCATATCTATATGTGGTGTGTCTGTTTTTACCCCAGTCTCTCTTTGCTCTCCTCTGGAGTGAGCTGTTCAAAAGTCTTTGCCTCCTCTTGTCCGAGAAAAGCCTCGTGGTCGTACTCGAAGTTCTCCTCATCATCGTGCTCCTTGTTGCTGAGGGGGGCGTCATGATGGACACGGTCCTTCTTTTCCATGGGTTTGCTGGAGGACTGAAGAACGCAGAGGGCGACGAACAGCAAGAGCGGCAACAGGTCCATTTTCACGTCCTATTTTATTTTTTCTTAACAGGGTCAAAAAGCAAAGTGGAGAGCAAGTGAATATAAATGCAAACAGAACACATGCAGTTTGTTACAAATAATAATTTCCAATCATGCTAACTCCATATACATTGATAGTTAATTATTTTATGTGACAGGAAGCTCCTAGAAGCATTGAGTAAGTTCACTACATATTTATACTCGGGACATATGCATTAATGTATCACCATGGCACCATATTCATCTTGCCTGTTATTTACATGGCACTCCCATAATACATTTAAACAAACAATCAGGGTAATACACTTTTTGCCAGTGCAATGAATGCTGTTCCAAAGTGTTATCAAAAAATTATCTAAATTATCTAATTTTTTCTTAATAACATTTTATTGTAACATTCAATTAATGTTCCAGATATTTAGACATGCAAGTATATTTTAAATTCCTCACATTAAGCTTCATGCAAATACAAATCACTTTAGAACGAGAAAAATGAAACAGCGAAGCATAAAGGGTCATATTCGCTAAACTGTTTAATGATTTGATACAACTTTACCTACCAATTATTGTAGTGTTTCACGCCGGATGTCAAACTAGTTAAGACGCTTCCCCTGGATAGCCCATTCAACTGACCAATCAGATTGGACAAAACGCACAGACTTCCCTTAACGCACCAATCAGATTGTAGATTGCCCTCAGGACGCTTCGCGTCGCTTCGCGATTGGTCCAGTTCAGTCCAAACGTAATTATGCCATTGGTTTAGAACTGCCACGTCCTCAAGGCACGTTATTTTATGTACTTATTTATTTTATTATTACCCCTCTCCTTTTTCAGAATGCTATCTTGTATGTTAATGTTTCTCCTTTTGAAGTAATATTTTCTAATATGTCTGTAGTCAATTGTCTCGTTCATATTAATAAAAATGGGTGGGAAAAAAAAAAAAGAAAAGGTATCCACTGCATGTTTTTTTGTAGGTTTTTTTAACTCCAAGTTTTGTGACGTTTAAAAATGACCTGATTTCAATATTTAAAGAAAGCATAAGTTAAAACCATGCTTACAACTCTGTAAATCACTGATTAGCCACCTTAAATTTTATTAAGTTATTAATTTGTTTTTAAAAATCTCTTATGTATTCTTCTTAGAATTAGTATTTTTTTATTAAGGCCGCACATCTTATAAATTTCAAATAATATTCTGTTTTATTCTTGACGATATTGTAAAGATAATAAAATGGGTCCTAAAGGTAAATTAAAACCTAATCCACACTTAAATGCATTATGGAATTGAATAATGCATTAACTTACAATATATAGAGTAGTCAACGTTTGAAGCGGATAAAAAAAAGTAAACAAAGTCGTAAAACAAGAACGGGAATTGTTCAAAATTAATTTAACTTTGATGACAGGTTTTGATCCATTTCAAATGTTGACTACTGTGTATACAGTCACATGGCAGTAGATGGCGCATGGAATATCAGAAATGCTCAATAACCTCTATGTCAATAACCCCGTAGAAAAAGCAAGCTGGCTTCTTTCTGTTTCTGAACAGTATTTAAATGTTTCAAATAGTCAGTCATTTTATCAGTGACATTGCACCCAGTTGTGCATTTTAGATTTGAACTTTTACTAAGCACCATTACACGTTATAAGATATTAAAACATGTTATATACAAAAACACATATAATACAATGTATTTTGAGAATGTTTTTTTTTAGCTGTCTACAGTATTAGTTCACCCAAAAAATTAAAATTGTCATAATTTTCTCACCTTCAAGTTGTTCCAAACCTGTATCAGAAACTTCCTTCTCCTGAACAAAAAATAAGACATTTTGAAGAATCTCAGTAACCAAACAGTTGACAGGCACCAATGACTTTCATTGTATTTTCCCCTTCTATGAAACTCAGTGGGGCCCATCTACAGGCATTCTTCAAAAATTGAAGACAGACATCTGTGGTTACACTCAAGGTCGTATAGTCAGATTAGTCCTTGAAAAAATCTGGATTTCCCAATGACTGGTTCTTACATTACTATTAAACCACCACGATTCTGAACATTAGGTTACATTTGGCCCTTGAGTTACATGTTACCATACATTTTAAGTTATATTTTATAGAATACTCTGTAAACTTCTGTCAGTCACTGAATTAAACCACCAATCATTATTGTACAGTATAGGCCCATTTTATAATATGACGATTTTTGATTATCAATGAAAACCAATTCAATTCAATTTTGCCTCTTTACGATGACTCGCTTTAATTTAGTCCTAATATGCAAGTCGCTTTGGATAAAAGCGTCTGCTAAATGACTAAATGTGAATGGAGGAAAGAATGACCCAAAACACAGATTCAAATATTTTATGATAGGAATATACAAAATACATTTTCAAATTCTGCAAACATCAGCAGAAAATGGCTGACACAGTGATTATTCACTGCCATTAAGCAACATCTTCCCCACAGCTGTCTCTCATGTTTGTTTCCTTTCAATATCCCTTTCGTTTCCACCACGCCTTTCAAAGTCTAGCCTGTTTCGGTTACGTCACAAGATCCCACTGAGTTTTGTAATGAGTGTCAGGCGGCTTGTAGCTGTGACCCCTGCGCTACTGGTGGGGCAGCAAAGGTGGCAACATCTTTTCTGAGGTTCAAGGATGCGAAAAGCGTGTCCAGGATTCCCAAGACCTGTAAAAACTCCTGCTGAAGTTCTGCTTCCCGACCCAACAGCTCTAAAAGACGTTGCAGCAACCTCTCGACTACAGGTGACTGGGGAATAACCTGCTGATATAGATCTACACACGCACAATTTCTTATGAAGAAAAACATAGAAAAACAATTCTATTTCGCAACCAGCACACTTCTTCATTCTCACTTGCTCACGTGCACATGATATGATGTGAAACTTACCAAGCACAATATCCCCGACCGTGAGCAGAGGGCGAGAGAAGCGTGGGTCAGTGATGTACCTGAAAAAAATAGCCAAGAACATCCTTTAACCTGATTTATGAATCATTTCATGACTTTCAAGTCATTAAGTACATGTATCATGGCATTAAATCAACCTTAAATCAAGAAAATGGGATCTAGACTATTTTGGCTGGTCTATGCTTCAGTTTTTGACCTTCTGTTCTGGGTCACTTTTGTTTTTGTGTGACCCAAATTCTCAGTCACCACACCCTGAGAACCTGCCAAAGAATTTCCCAGTGCATTTAATATTCTAAGAAGAATGGTTTTGTCACAAGAATGTATTGGCATGCATTTCACAGAATATTAACAGTGCAGAAACTCTTAAAGGGATACTCCACTTTTTTTGGAAATAGGCTCATTTTACAACTCCCCCAGAAGTTAAACCGTTGAGTTTTACTGTTATTGAATACATTCAGCCGATCTCCGGTTCTGGCGGTACCACTTTTAGCATAGCTTAGCATTAGGGGTCGACCGATTATCGGCGCCGATATTAAGCATTTTTATGGTTATCGGTATCGGTCATTTTCAAAACCGATTTGCTGATAAAATAAAATCAAACCACAAAAAGACTACTTACATATGAATCCTGCGTGTCTCTAAATGAATGGCACAGACGCGTGATTTTATTTGTCACACACACTGGAGCACGCGTGACGCTTGCCTGTTTTTAGCCTCAGCTGCATCATTATATGAGGACATGATTGCATAAACATCATCTCCAGAGTCGCTTAGTCACTTCATCAGCTTTTTAATGCTTCAACTGACAAAAGTTAACGTCATATCATAGACAAACGGAAACTCAAAGACCGGTCAAAATAAACATTCGTTTTTTCACAAAGCCCTAAAAATTTCATTTTTGTTAAACTGTAAATACATTGAATAAGTTTGATGATTTTAATTAATTAGAAATGCTTTTTGATTACTAAAATTTCATTTAAACATTTAAATAGAGTCTTTAAGTTTTACAAAATGTTTACAGAATGCTGCTGGGTGCTCCCTGCACTTTTTACAAGTTATTATTATTATTATTATTATTATTAACAGTTCTCAGATTCAAAGATATGTTTAAATGCATTTCAAGAAAGTATTTGTAAAAACAGTTTAAAAAAAAATACAGTTTTACACCAGGCATAGGCTATAATATACATATATATATATATATATATATAGGTTCAAAATATCGGTAATCGATCTATTTGATTTTTTTTTTTTAATTAACATTAATGATGTCTACAGTTTATGAAGCGGCTGTCCCTTTAAGAACAGATGCACGAATATAGTTACACATCAGATTTTCTCCCATTTGTTTTTGTTCGCATAACAGACTGTTTAAATTGAATACTCCACAGTTCACACGTTGTGCATTTTGACATAATTGTGTGCGTAGCTGTGAAAGAGAACGGAATTCGAGATTGCATGCATGCGAGAGGCGGCATCTTCGCACGTATTTCAGCTGTGTGTCCGTCTGCACGAGTACTGCATTGAGCCCTTGTTCGTGGCTTATTGTGATTAAACTCAATAACTTTAAGTAACTTTAAGTAGTACTGTTTAAGAACTGTTACACATTATAACATTTGTTTTTGAAATTTGTGAATCAATGAAAATCGGTAGAAGATAGAAGTCAAGTTTCAACAAGTCCCCAGATGAGACTGTACTACATCAGTATGTATGTATATATATATATATATATATATATATATTAGGGGTGTAACGGTTCACAAAATTCGCGGTTCGGTTCCATACGATACATTTGTGTCACGGTTCAGTTCGGTATGGTTCGGTACGTTTCAAATACAGCAAAAAGAAAGAAATGGCAGAGAAATTTCCTTGATTTAATTTTTTTAATTATATTTTTATTAAAACTAACATCATGAAGTATGATAATTTTTAACTTTGAGCAATGATGGAGCTCTACTTGACTTTTCTTAGGAGCATATAAAACAAAACAGCTCCTTGGACAAAATTAAATGTAATATTGTAGTAGTTATAAACAAAGGTTTATTTTAGTTTAGATTAACCTTTGAGGGCAGCAATTGTATTGATAATGTTAAAATAAAACAGACGTGATGTTACTTGAAAGCATTATGGCCTACTATTACTGCCAAACTTACAGATAGTAGTGTTATACAGTAAATCCATGGTGAATGTTGCTGATCTGTGGACACTGGATAGTTCATTCATGGCAATTTTTCTTCCTGGTTTCCACGTCAGTGCTGTTTGATCCGTTGATAACGTGAATGTTTCGTGAACGAACGTGAAATGTGAATGTTTCTCACTAGATCTCGCACCGATATTATTACTTCAGTGACGAATTCAAATGTTTTCTTTACTGGATTTGGCTGTGTAGTAACAGTGCTGATCAAGATCGGCTCGCGCTGCATTGGTCCGAACTGATAAACGGTCCGTGATCCAGACAACCACACAATAACGAGTAGCTCAGGTTCGTTCTGCTTACATTACATTTGCCATTTGATGTTGGGCAATGTTGTGGTCACGCCAGCGTTACATTTGCGCATACATTTGAAATGACGAAATGTTGGTCGGCAGGAAAAATGAACCGAACGAACCGTTCGGTTAAAAAATGCGTACCGAAAACCGAACCGAAAGCTTCGTACCGAACGGTTCAATACGAATACGTGTATCGTTACACCACTAATAAATATATATATATATTTTTTTCCCCATTATAAA